TTAAATTCAATCACATTTCATGTGCCTGTACCAAGTATAAACCCTGTTGTATACTTGTAGTACATGTTGCATGGCTTATAGTTTTTATTTTTTTATTTTTAGAATTGTGTATTAAATGCATATGACAGATCTATATAAAATAGATGTGGTACATTTTTGTACATGCAGTGATGTGATGTACATGTACATGAATGATTATCACAGACACAATGAACAAGATATTTCTGCTGAATTTGTTCACTACTTTTATAGACACATTAAAGAGTAGAGCTTGACATATTGCATAGACAATTGCCTTTCCTTCTATTGAAGCCTTATATATACATGTAGGTTTCATTCTAGATGTCATTTAGTTATTTTTTGCTATTTTAGTTGCTGTTGGTCTATAACAAAGCAGGGTTATTATTCACATCACATAAACATATTCTTGTCCTGAATATGCATATTAATTTGCCACTAGACTGTAAGCAGCTATCCATCATCATTAACATATATATAAACGTTTCATGTATAGTATCTCTTCTTGTTCATATGTAAACTTTGACCTACTGCTTTATATACATTGTGTAGAATCTGAGAAATGGAATTAACCACAATATATATTAATTTGCACAAAAAAATAACCTTAATCACTGATGGGTAAAATGAGGTTGGGGTCACATGAACACCGTCTTTTGTTTGATTTTATTTTTACCTAATGTATATACCTTAATTTTTTATTTAGATATCTGTAGACTTATAAGTTGAAACAAGAGTGCACACGCTGAAATGTCTCACCTACTATACTGACCATTGATTTTATGTTGATAGTCCTACTTATAAAGTTTTACTACAAGTATCACATTAACATTTATGATCCAAGAAAATGAGGTCAAGGTCAGATAAACCAAGGCAGAAATACATGTACACCTTTAATACAATCATTCCATACACAGAATATAGATGACCTATTGCTTGTAGTATAAAACAAACAGACCAAACCATGGAAATTCCATATGGACCAATGAACCATGAAAATGAAGTCAAGGTCAGATGATACCTACCAGACATACATACATGCATACACCTTACAATCATTCCTTACACCAAATATAGTTGACATATTGCTTAAAGTTTAAGAGAAACAGACCAAAACACAAAAGCTTAACATTGAGCAATGAACCGTGAAAATTAGGTCAAGGTCAAATAATACCTGCCAGACTGATATGTACATTGTAAAATATTTCCATACACCAAATATAGTTGACCTACTGCATACAGTATTAGATCAAAGCACGAAAGCGCTGTAAAGGCAGTTAATTACAGGTTGTGTGTATTTTAAGTCCAGTTATATCATTATCTTGCATAGTACAGGTAGCTTTCAGTATTTTAGATTTAGAGTTCTCTAATGATATTGAAAAAGTTTTATGAATGTCATATTCTGAGCACTATATGAAGGCGATTGTTCTCACTTGTTTATGAACTAGTGCATTATGTCCAGTTTGTACCTTTTTTATCTATGTTTATAGTCAAATTAGTTATCAAAGGTACCAGGATTATAATTTAATACGCCAGACGTGTGTTTCGTCTACATAAGACTCATCAGTGACGTTCAGATCAAAATAGTAACAAAGCCAAACAAGTACAAAGTTGAAGAGCATTGAGGACCCAAAATTACAAAAAGTTGTGCCAAATACGGCTAAGGTAATCTATTCCTTGGATAAGAAAATCCTTAGTTTTTTCATTGGCAATCATAACACATCTCCTTATTTATATAATGATCTATATTCAACGACCTCAGGTACAAAAAAAATGTATGTAACTAAACTATGATGGGAAACCTTTGACTTCTTTCTTTATATAATCTTTTGATTTGGTACCATAGAACTATGTAGAGTAAATGTACATTGCAACGTGTCAACTCTTTCAACTCCAAGCAAAATTATATTTCCAAGCATAAAGTAATTTATGAATGAAATAAAATGCTCCGCTGGGGCGCAGCTTGATACGACCGCAGAGGTCGAACCCTGAACAGTTGGGGCAAGTATGAACACAACATTCAAGCTTGATTCAGCACTGAATTTGGATTGTAATTAAATATTTGACACAGCATAGGTTTCTGACACAGAATGAAAGTGGTCTAAGATACTTAAAAAAATTTAATTTACCTATTCAAACCATATCATTATTATTTGCTTTTATATATAAATCAGAAATAACCAATTTAAAATGGAAAATTTTAAAGAAAAAAAAGGAAAAAGAATCCCCCCCCCCCAAATTTTTTGAACCCCCTTATGATTCATCACCCCAAAACTCAATCCCAGCCTTCCCTTTGTGGTATGGTACCTTGCAGTACAATTTCAGAGAGATCCATACACTTGAACACAAGTTATTGTCTGGAAACTAGAAAAATGCTTGTTTTTTGGCCCCTTTTTGGTCCCAAATTCCTAAACGTTTAGGGCAATTACCCCCAAACTCAAACCCAGCTTTCCCTTTGTGATATGGAACCTTGTAGTACAATTTGATAAAGATCCATACACTTACACACAAGTTATTGCCATGAAACTAGAAAAATGCTTGTTTTTTGCCCCTTTTTGGCCCCTAATTCCTAAAATTTGGAGGCAATTACCCCCAAAATCAATCCCAGCATTCCCTTTGTGATATGGAACCATGTGATACAATGTCAGAGAGATCCATAGACTTACACACAAGTTATTGTCATGAAACTAGAAAAATGCTTGTTTTTTGCCCCTTTTTGGCCCCTAATTCCTAAAATTTGGAGGCAATTACCCCCAAAATCAATCTCAGCATTCCCTTTGTGGTATGGTACCTTGCAGTACAATTTCAGAGAGATCCATACACTTGAACACAAGTTATTGTCTGGAAACTAGAAAAATGCTTATTTTTGGCCCCTTATTCCTAAACTTTTTGGGCATTTACCCCCAAACTCAATTCCAGCTTTCCCTTTGTGATATGGAACCTTGTAGTACAATTTCATAAAGATCCATACACTTACACACAAGTTATTGCCATGAAACTAGAAAAATGCTTGTTTTGTGCCCCTTTTTGGCCCCTAATTCCTAAAATTTGGAGGCAATTACCCCCAAATTCAATCCCAGCATTCCCTTTGTGATATGGAACCTTGTGATACAATGTCAGAGAGATCCATAGACTTGCACACAAGTTATTGTCATGAAACTAGAAAAATGCTTGTTTTTTGCCCCTTTTTGGCCCCTAATTCCTAAAATTTGGAGGCAATTACCCCCAAAAATCAATCCCAGCATTCCCTTTGTGATATGGAACCTTGTGGTACAATGTCAGAGAGATCCATACACTTACACACAAGTTATGTCTGGAAGTTACAAAAATGCTTATTTTTGGCCCCTAATTCCTTAACTGTTGGTACCATAACCCCCAAAATCAATCCCCACTTTCCTTTTGTGGTATTGAACCTTATTTTAAAATTTCATTGAGATCCATTCACTTAAACTAAAGTTAGAGTTTGATGCGAAATTCCAACTACATTGAAAATCGACTAACAAATGACTAAAGTTAGAGTGCGAAAACTAATGTGTCTTCGGACGACAACGTCATACCAATATACGACCACAAAAATGTTTTTGCGGTCGTATAAAAAGGAGTTCTTAATTAAGAAATAAACTGATTCGCTGGGCAGAGCTGGATACACCCGCAGAGGTACTACCCTGAACAGCTGGGGCAAAAATGGACACAATATTCAAGCTTGATACAGGTCTGAATTTGGATTGTAATTAAATATTTGACATATTATAGTTTCTGAATAAATGTAGTCAATGAACTTGAAATCGGTTATATGAATTGAATTTATATTCAATTAAAGATTTCTTGCTGTTGTGCAATACACTATGCTGTTGTGCAATACTTAATAAATCTGTTGCCAGACTATAAACAAATAAAGTTCAATTTCTTCTCAATGTCATATTTGAAATTGATGAAAATCAATAGGGAGATTACATCAATAGCTATAAATAATTCACCACGGTTTCATGTGAACTGCTTAAAGCATTTTTGAGTTGTTGTCCAAAGACTGGAAAATCCCCCTTTTTTAATGAATAAAACCCCATAACTCAGAAATGTAAAATCTAAAATTTATAAAATTCTAAAGGGAGCTTACGGATTGATTATTTAGTCTTAGATGCAAGATTTTTTTATCAGTTGTTAGTGGCTTTGAACTAGCTGTCAGTAACTGCGAGTACTCTCAGATTTGTACTTAGTGTCTTTTTGTTGTTTGGATGTACAACTACCCGACCACGTCCACTTGTATTTGTATTTATCCATCTGATGAGTTTAGCCTCTTTCAACTGATTTTTATAGTTCTTTCTTATATTGTACTGTTACATCACTGTCCCAGGTTAGGGGAGGGTTGGGATCCCGCTAACATGTTTAAGCCCGCCACATTCTGTTTGTACATGTATGTGCCTGTCCCAAGTCAGGAGCCTATAAAAGTGTAATTCAGAGGTTGTCGTTTGTTTATGTGTTGCATATTTGTTATATTTGTTCATTTTTTTACATAAAATAGGCCGTTAGTTTTCTTGTTTGAATTGTTTTACATTGTCATTTCTGGGCCTTTTATAGCTGACTGTGCGGTATGGGCTTTGCTCATTGTTGAAGGCCGTACTGTGACCTATAGCTGTTAATTTCTGTGTCATTTGGTCTCTTGTGCATGTGTGGAGAGTTGTCTCATTGGCAATCATACCACATCTTCTTTTTTATATTTACATCAACAGATATAAAAAATTCACCAAAGTCAAGGTGAGACAACAAAACTTAGTTGTAAGATCTCTGAAATTTTTTACAGGGTACGAGTTTTTCTCATTGTTGGAGATTGTACGGTGACAGTAACACCTGTAACTGCTTAAACCCATTTCTTATGCACTTTAGTTTGATAAACTCACTGAATATCATACCACATCTCCTTATTTTTATATGCATTACAATTTACATGTGCATGTAATTGTAAATATATATATATCAGAACAAAATTCATTGCGTCACTTTTATTTATGCATCCTTTGGCACAATACAAGTTCTAAAATTACACAACATAAAACAACTAAATGTTATTTCAGATGAAAGTTTTGTTTCAGTTCCATTCATAGGATTTATTAGAATTTTGTATGTTTTGCCAAGTCCAATAATTCGCTCTATGTGACATAGAGACATAGTTGACTAAACCACCAGGTGTCGAACATTCAAGAATTTTCAGTGTTTCTGTTTTTATTTGATGAAAAGGTTGCCTGAGCTCTAGGAGCTTTAGGTTTTATCACGGGATATTCTGTGCTGTCAATAATAATCCAAGTCGTAGGAAACTTTAATTTGAAGTTGGATGGTGAAAAATACCTGACTAAACCACTAGATGGCCAAGTGTTAGCCTCACACCACTGTTTAGACATAAAAACAATCCATGTATACACAATATTCTTAACACTAGATTCAATCTAGAATCTAGACAGTTCAAAGTTGGTTGTATGATGCCTCAATTTCATCAAAGTCATAAAAAAACTGATTTTCAACTGACACCCTATCAATTTGAAAATATATGTATCTCAAACAATGTGCTGCTGGACCAAGTGTGGTCAAAACAAATAAAAATTTAGTATACAACTCTAAACCGGTATAAAAATGCATGGCTGTGTCACGTGTCTTCATTTCAAAATTCTCTGCTGAAAACATAGGCATTGATGGTGTTTGCGTAATTCCATCTGTGAAGCTCAACATTAGCTCGGCAGTTGGTGGTGGACAGTCATAAATCCTTTCTGCAGTATGAATGACTTCTTCAGGAAAACCAACTTTACAATTAAAACTTTCCTCTAGATTTCTACTACAATATTCATCAAGTTTAGTTCTTTTGTTTTCACAGGAAACTGCCCTGATTTTTCTTTTTGTGGACGATTCAGTCTCTTGCTTGGTCCAGGAAAATAGGCTGGGAATTGCAGTAGACTTAAGTCTCTGTATGGTGGGTTTGCGCCCTGAAAAAGGTTATAAAACATTAGTTTTTTTATAATTAAATGAAATTCCATTACAACGTATACTTTGTACTACCTGGCGAAATATTAACTAGATTTATTCATTACAATCTGGATAAAACTATGTTTGCCTGATTCAATGTATGTTATGTCAATCCAAAGGACAAACAATGAGAGACTTATGCAACAAACGTACATTGTTTGTACCTAAATAACTATAATATAGATGAGAGCATGTCATTATTTTGTTCCTGTTAACATTGTCATTGATATTTTTCAAGAAAGTCTATGAGGCATAGCTTATGCATTCCTGTCATTACTACATTAGCATAATTACTGCTAAAATAATTCTCAGTATGATATACCTCTTGTAAGAAATCATTATAATTGTAGCAATCACCAAAAAATCTCAAACAGATCACATTGAATCGTAATCCAAAAAATTATGACGTCTTGAATTACCCACCCCCTTTTATTCTAAAACGATAATTGCGGTTGTAAACAGACTTTGGTTTATTCGCATGGCGATTACATATATAACTATATATTTCACAAGGAAAATAGAGTTTTACCATGAATAGTTTCCTGCACGTAGTCTTTTTCAGTAAAACGTGCCTTGCAAACAACAGCTGATTGAGATGGACTCCACGATATCATCGTGTTCTCGTCCAATCTGCGTATGGGCCATGGCGTTGATCCAACTTTTCCTTCTTTTTAAGTCATTTGGAAATGCATGTCCTCCTCTTAAATGACATCCAGGTACACAACAACAAGTACTTGGCATCGTTAATTAAAAATATAACTGAAATAGTTGCACAGTGCAGAAACCGGAAGTAGAGGAACAGGATCCGCTACCACGGCGCCACCTATTCAGGAACGATAATTTGCTACTTTATATAACTGCGAAAATAACGTTAGACGGGTTCACGTGCATAAACAGAAATGCGCTTTAAATTGTATAATATAATTCATGTTCAGTCGACCTTTAATTATTATATCAACGACTGAAATGATTTATAAACATCTAGATTGCAGATAACACTCGAAATTAACCCGAGCTCTTTCTTCACGGAATTCAAATAATTCTTGTTTGTCAATCGGTTGACTGCTTATAATGCAAAATACTAATATATCAAAAGTTTTTAAAACTAACAAAACACAATGATCGTTTCTCTATTTCCCAATGTAAATGAAATGAAACAAAAAACATTTTATATCGCAATAAGAAGAGGAGAGAATTCAACATTTCCGGATCTACTTGGAGTCTAATGACCCCCCACGTAGATAAGTTGGATATCGCGGAAGGAAGGATTAACCCGGCAACTAGAAAGGCATTAAAGCACTGCCTTTAAAAAACAGACCAAAACACAAAAACTAAACTAGTACCACTGAACCATGAAAATGAGGTCAAGGTCAGATGACACCTGCCAGCTGGACATGTACACCTTACAATCATTACATACATGTACGCCAAATATAGTAGACCTATTGCTTATAGTATCTGAGATATGGACTTGACCATGAAAACTTAACCTTATTCACTGATCCATGAAACGAGGTCGAGGTCAAATGAAAACTGTCTGACAGGCATTAGGACCTTGCAAGGTACGCACATACCAAATATAGTTATCCAATTACTCATAATAAGAGAGAAATTAACATTACATGTACAAAAATTCTGAACTTTTTTTTCAAGTAGTCACTGAACCATGAAAATGAGGTCAATGACAATAGACATATGACAGACGGAAACTTCATATCATAAGGCATCTATATACAAAGTATGAAGCATCCAGATCTTCTACCTTCTGCAATATTAAGCTTTTAAGAAGTGAGTTAACGCCGCCGCATCACTATCCCTAATTACACAAAATTTAGATTATTTTTTAACTTTTGTGATAAAATGGTGATATACATGTATGTGCTCAGTTGATACAACATTTTACAATTTTCATGCATCTTGGGACTCGCAAGTTTTGAAAATGATGAGTCCAGACTGATTATGATGAGTCCAGGACTCGCCTTAATGAAAACCCGGGGCTCGACAAAAAATTGAGAGACAAGTTGAACCCCGTCTGACAACACATGTAAACCTTTGATCCCATACATGTATACCAAATATCGTATTACTTATAATATGCCACAAATTCACTTGATAAAATCACTACACATGTAGTTTTTTAAGGAGCACTGAACAATGAAAATGGAATAAGGACAATGGACATACGTCTTGACAGAAACTTCTAAACATAAGGATTCCTTATACATTATCATGATTATGATTTTAAGTATGACAAATCCATGATTTCTACCCTCTGAAATATAAAACTTCATATAAATAGTAAATGTTGTTGTCCGATTAGCATTTCATGTCTTGCATGTCTTGTATTCTGAAACTTTTGTCACAGACAGGACATAACTGGAGACCTTGGAGGAATTAAGCCTACTTAAACATGTTATAAGCCTCATGGTGATAGTCAGTAATTTATCTGGAGGAAAATGAACAAGGAAGATACAAAAAGTGAAGGTAGTCTTCAGTTCCAGAACAGACATAGTTGTCAGAAATTTTTTTTTTAATTATCTGGTTTATCCGTTCAAATAAAGACAGAAGAAATCTATCTATTACTAAAAATATAACTGTTCTGAACTGCATTTTATTTAATAGACGTATAGCACTGTCAACATGTACAATGTACCTGACAACAACCAAGCAACAATCTTTTAGTTCACAAGTACAACAGCTTGATCCATATGTGATCCAAAATGTGCAGAATGCTATTATGGTGGGAGGTTCAAATTCACTTTATACCCCGTACTTTTCAACTTTGAATATTATATCCTATATCACCTTCATTGCTGGTGATCATCATGTCATGTACATGTAGAACTTATTTTTAAACTTCTATAAATGGAAACCAGATTGGTCAAATATGTCTTCATAACGAGTTGAAAATATGGAATGTCTTGGACTAGGTACTGTGGCTTCCAAAGGTTTAAAGATTGTCTGATGGTCTTAAATCTGTATTGTATATGACTGTTACATGTATAAATGAAAAAGGCTTTTATATCTTTGCTTTTGTACAGACATCATTGACATTTATATTAGCAAACAATTTGCGTTTCCTGGCATATCTATTTGTTTGGCGGCTGAACATTTCCAAATGCATGTTTCATGTTTTTCACATCCTTTTTAGTTTTCTGATGAAAATGCTGTTGCTTCCAGTTGATACAGATTCTATAGCTGAGCCTGTGTCTGGCCATTTCTTTATGTCTAGCATGTGTGTGAATTATTCACAGTGACTCTCAATTTCATTTCCCCAAACTTTCTGTGTCTGATTCCTTTCAATGAAGCTATATAGACCAGGGAAGAATGTCTGCTCCTGAAACATGTGAAATATCAATTTAAATATATTTATGGAATATTCTGATTTCAAAACAATGCTGACTCCATTATAAAGCTTATTTAAGATTATTTAACATCCGTTTCAGAGGAACTAATTTAATTTTTTTCTTTAATAATTATTACTAGCTTTTCCAGACTAAAAGATGAAGAAAAAATGTACATGCATGTTTGTTTAGGTTTTCCCTACCTACATGTACATACCCTGTTACTTAATACTAGTGTTTATTCAAACACATTTTAATTGATATGTTCCTCTGGTTAATGACAGAATGTTTTATTAAATAAATGTTACTTACAGATATACATGTAAGTTATCTAAAAGTAAATTTATAAATTGACACTGTGAATCCATTTCTAGGATCCACATCTTCTTATCTTTGAACATTTTTTGGGGAAATAAAAACACTGGCCCTTGAGTAATCCTTTTTGGGATTAGTCCTTGAGGTGTGGATTCCCTAATCAAATTTGTACGTACATGTATTTATTATCAGAATCTGTACACAAATCTTTAAACTTGTATTTCATTTCATTTCACATTTTTTACTTTTTGTTTAGCATCATCATTTCCAGACATTAATCTTATAAGATACCTATTGATTTTGTTTGATGGTTGGTTGTTTTCTGAACAATTTAACATACATGTATGTACTATGATAGAGATAGCCTCGTCTGTCTTGTTCTATATATTGATCAAGTATATGTATTAGACATGTTGAATTTAAAGATAGAGTATTCTATCAGTCAAGAGCATAATTACTTAATCAAGTCTTCAAAATTATTTATACTAGTAATGTTACAAATGAAAACAAAGCAGTGGCGGACCCAGAAATTTTCTTCATTATGGGGGCCTGTACAGCCATGCTTCAGTGATTCCCTATATAAACAACCAAATTTTTCCAAAAAAGGGGGCCTGAGCCCCCCCTCTAAATCCGCCTCTGCAAAGTTACTCAATCCTGTAGTTAAAGCTAAATATTTGAGTATAAAAGACTACAATAAATGGGGAATGTGTCCATAGGACACAGATGATGCCCACTCTTGCAGATCATATAAAGTTATAAAACGACATAACTGAAGAATGGTAAAAGTGATGCTACCCAAATTTGTGCTTGATCTGAGTTTTTTTGGTAATAAGTATATATTGTGTATAAGTTTCATAACATTTGGTTGAGGCAAACTAAAGTTAGAGAATGGAAACGAAAAATTCAGCAATTATACCATTTGTTCTGGAACGGTTAAAGTAACACTTTTTGCCTCTTTCAACTGATTTTTATAGTTCGTTCTTATATTGTACTGTTACACCACTGTCCCAGGTTAGGGGGAGGGTTGGGATCCCGCTAACATGTTTAACCCTGCCACATTCTGTATGTATGTGCCTGTCCCAAGTCAGGAGCCTGTAATTCAGTGGTTGTTGTTTGTTTATGTGTTACATACTTGTTATTCGTTCGTTTTTTTTGTACATAAATTAGGCCGTTAGTTTTTCTCGTTTGATTGTTTTACATTGTCATTTCGGGGCCTTTTATAGCTGACTGTGCGATATGGGCTTTGCTCATTGTTGAAGGCTGTACGGTGACCTATAGTTGTTAATTTCTGTGTCATTTGGTCTCTTGTGGAGAGTTGTCTCATTGGCAATAATACCACATCTTTTTTATATGTACATAAACAGGATGAAGTTATTTTTCTCACAAAGCATTAAACTAATATTTAATGAACACTGAAACACTAATTGCCATTCTGACCCACTGTAGCCAGTCCAAGAATAGTGAACAATTAATTTCTTTCTTGGCAGAAAATTTCCCCTAACAATTATCTGGAGCACCACATGATATCAACATGTGTCAGTGTGTGACAGAAGTAAAAAAAGTATGCTGATATTAAAACTTCTTCTGCATGTGCTGGCATAAGTATACATGTATATCTTTGCAAGTACACAGTAGAATATCATTAATAAGATGACATTATGATTTATATACTATTACCAATGAATTTAGATTGATCTGATCCCATATCTTCATTGACTTTGTAAATTATAATTGTTTGGTAGGAGAATTAGGAGAATGAAGACTTGCCATGCATTTTCTGGGATATTGTCATGTTTTTTTAAAGTACACTGTGAATCCTCCACAAAGATTTTTTTTAATTAACACTCGAGAAGTTGCCCAATGATAGAAAAATGTCAACCTTTAATACTCTATTTTCGAGAATTTACCTTTGAATGCAGACTTGATTATCGGGTAGCAGATATCTGGTATGTAAACTCTTTCCATAGCCCGTTTGAAGCATGTTGGAAGCCTGACCATGCAATCTTTGATTTCCAAAATTTGTCTCTTCTCAAATTTCAATTCTTTCACTTTGTACTAAGGCAAAATTTCAGTTAATGCATTTTCTATGTTGTTTTTCCATTTCTACGTCGCCATCTTCAACATGTTCCTAGGTCGCGTTTATAAGGAGCATTCTGATTGGTCGATATAAATACTTTCTGGGGTCAAATATTACGTTATATAAGGTCACAAAAGTGAAACCTTGTAGGGTACTTGTTAGATCTTCGTATGTAGTATAACGTAGTATAACGAAATCCGAGATCTATATTTTAATTAGATTGGTTTGTAAACTACATCGATGCCTGTACATAGCCCTCTTTTTGTACATAATCTTTAACTTCATGTCAATTTTAGGCCAATTGATGGTCAATAAGTTATATAAGTGTGATTAACCTGTTTCTAATTGTCATTTTGTTTCATATTTTTAACAGACAACCCTCCCCCTTTTTCACCGTTTGCAGTATTTCTTATTCCTACAAAGCAAAGATGTACTCAGACCTGCTAATTCGATCCATTCTGCGTTAATATTACACCAGTTTTGGAACTAAGTACAATTTGATGTGCTTCCACACTCACCAAAAGAAATTTGGATATTTACCCAGAAAATCATAACGAACATCTTCTATCGAAAAGA